TACTTTTAATTAATGTAAAAATGTTTTTCCTAGTGATGAATCTACAAGGCAAGCAAAACCAAGTTGGTTAGACCTTTTCTTTCCATGACATATTCAGTTGTCTGGCACTCAGCAAAGCTCAGTTTGGGTGGCCATTCTAGAGAGGCATAATATGCCATGTGGGTGGGCAAGCCCAAAAATCAAAGCATTGCCTCAGACTTCTGTCCCAGAATAGCCACAGGAAGCCCTTTGATCTCCAGCTTGTCCCATCTGCCTCTACCTACTGCAACAGGCTCTCCTTAACATTGGGTTCCTGAGCAGCTGATCTGTTTGCTATTGACTCTTAGACTCTCTTATGGAAAGTGTCATCTTATCAGTCATTCCTTAAATTCTTTCATTTGCCTGGATCTTCTGATAATACTTCTAAAGAACCTACAAAGGTTCTAGAAAATTCCTAGGAGTTTCTATAATTTTGTATATAGTATTTAAATAAGCAGCCACTTGAAAAACTAAACCACAGACAATCTGGCAATTCCTATTTAAAAAAGAGATTTTGAAAGATGGGAGGTTGAACTATTCTGGCTTTGAAAAAGTAGACTCACAAAATTAGGGAAGGGTGGCAAGTGAGTAAAGGAAACTATCTGCTTCTCCTGAACTTACCGCATCCTGGTGACATGTTTAAATATTACAATGCAGACTCTTTTAAAGTCATCAAGATTATTTTCTCATTAATAATTTAAAGAATCTACTAGATTTGGTTTGATTAGGTTGGATTTTTAGTTATTGTATCCAGGAAGTTGATTCAAAAGGTTTATAACAGGTTTGAAGATAATGATAGACTTTCAGAGTGAATAAATTTAAAACCTTGGGAAATAGAGAGAAAACATTTTAGAGAAGCATTTCAACAAAAAACTTCCTTCATGGAACAAACTAACTCCAGACCAGCACAATCCATTAGAGCAGCAACTTTTAATATTTTCCATCTCAGGGTACACATAATTACTAAAATTCATCAGTACACCAAAAATATATTACTTTTTTGCCAATCTGACAAGAAAAAAAAGGTATAATTTTCATTCATTCACATGGGATAGCTATTGTATTGGCTGTTGTCATTTTTTATCAATAATTTGACTAAGGGGAAAGCATTCAATGCCTCTGCCTAGTCAAGTATTGCATGTTTTAAAAAATCTTGCCACACTTCTTTGAAACTCATGGCATTAGAACATTCTGAGATGATGGAAATGTTCTATAACTGCAGTGTCCCAAATGGTACCCTCTAGTTATTGAGCACTTGAAATGTGGTCAGTGTCAGGAGAAATTGAATTTTAAGTTTGATTTTATTTTAATAAATTTAGATTTAAATAACCTAATGAGACTAGAGTTACTATGTTGGGTATTGCAGCTCGAGGCTGCAGAACACCTATTCTAATAATCAACTATCCTATATAGTAAAAGCCTAATGTGCTAAGTGTCTGGTCATCCATTCAACCAACCAAAGAGTAATATGTTAATGATATGCTAAGACTGTTCAACCTCTCACTATAACTACTGCACTAACCACCAGGGGGCAGACACTTGCTGCTGGAGTCAGCTGATCAGGACTAAACAAGACTGGCCAGACATGCCCTGGAGCCCTCCTGCAGTCCTTCCCCAGCTGGCCAACCTCCTGTGACCGCCCCCCCCAACCTCAATCATGCGCCAGTGGGGTCCCTCAGTCTGGCCTGCACCCTCTTTGCAATATGGGACCCCTCAAGGGATGTTGGAGAGCCAGTTTCAGCCAGATCCTGCAGGCCAGACTGAGAGAATCCACTGGTGCAAGATGTTGTGCACCAGGCCTCTAGTATGGTAATCATAAGAGAAGAGAAACAGTGAAACTGAAGCAACTCAGCCCTTCTCAGTCAGAATAAATAAAGATGCTGGATTATGTGACCCTAAAATGGACAAACCAGCTGGTCATTTTACACCTTATCTTACATTCGACATTCTGCTAATGAGTAATTCAGTCTCACTATTTATATGTGATAAACTACTACTGGTCCACCAAAGTGATGATGTTTACTTCTCACTTTCTCAAACAAAATACTTGTTAACACATTAGATAGAGGTGTTTAAAAGGTTACCAACATCAACATGGTAAATATAGACATGAATAATCATGGGTCTGGCTTGGAGATGGATTTCCCAGACATACTCTTAGGTAATTGCTTACTCTAGAGCAATTGTTAACATTAAAGACTTAGAAAACATTTTGTAATTTGTATTTCATTACTCTTTAAGTATAGTAATTCACATATATTTATTTGATTATAAAATGTACAAGTTTAAAAAATAAGCTATTCAGCATAAATTAAAAATACCATTCCATCACCTAGAAATAATTGTTGTTTAATTAACCACCTTAATGTCAGACATTTCTCTATTTTTACATAAACACAGAGGTATAGATATCTAGATTAAGAGACCAAATAATACTATTAAAATGGAACTGTACTTGCTTTTTATAATTTTCAAAATTATTACATGTCATTTTATGCTAATTGAAAAAGAGAAAAGAGCTGAATTGAAACTAAATGAATTATTAAAGTTTTGGTAATTGTTTCTCCATCAAAAAGCACACCATGACTGGCTTCTGTGCCCAGAGTATCACAGGCTGAAATGAAGGTATTGGATAGGCTGAATTCTCATCGGGAAACTCTGAAGAAAAAAACAAAAACAAAAAACCCCAGCTTCCAAGCATTCTAACTGTTGGCAGAACTCATATGTGTACAGTTGGAGGACTTGGGTCCCTGTTCATTGGCTGAATGTTAGCTGGGGGCTGTTCGCAGCAACTAGAAGCTGCTCACCTTCCTTGCTACATGGAGGCTGCTCACCCTCCATCCTGAAGTCAACAGAGTTGCACCCAATCTTTCTCATGCTATCTCTGGTTTTAAACTTGCTACTAGTCGCCGAAACCGGTTTGGCTCAGTGGTAGAAGCATCGGTCTGCGGACTGAAAGGTCCCAGGTTCGATTCCGGTCAGGGGCATGTACGTTGGTTGCGGGCACATCCCCGGTAGGGGGTGTGCAAGAGGCAGCTGGTCGGTGTTTCTCATCGACATTTCTAGCTATCTGTCCCTCTCCCTTCCTCTCTGTGAAAAATCAATAAAAATATATTAAAAAAATAAATAAACTTGCTACTAGTTTGAGAAAATGCTCTGTTTTTAAAGGTTCGCATGATTAGATCCGGCCCACCTAGGTAATCTCCCTACTTTAAGATCAACTCATCAGGAATCTTAATACGTCTGTAGAAACTCTTCACAGCAGTGCCTAGGTCAGTGTTTATTTGAGGAGCTGGGAGCAGGTGTGTATGTAGTCAAGGCTGGGACTCTTAAGGATTCCACTTACCACAGGTTTCCATAATAAGATTCTTCTTTCTCACAAGAAAAGGTCAGAAGATATGTATTCCTGATTTCTGCAAACTTGAGGCACTTCTCTCATAACTTGGTAAACAATTCTTGATTTACATTTTTTTCTGCCAGAAAGCTGTAGACCTTGCCCTTCTGTGTCCTGCTTTAGGTCTTGCATTGCTCTTTTTGCTACTAATGCTCTAGTCATTTTCTGATTTCCGGGATTTAACCATCGATTGTTGGGTTTTCCTTCAAAAAGGAATCATGAGGGCCATATTTCCTTTGGCTTTAGCATGCTTGGAAAATTTTTACTCATTGAATGGAAAAATGGCTGGATGTCATATTTTTTGCTTTAAGACTTGGTAAACATGATCTGTTATCTCCTGATACTGATTATTGCTGACAATATTTTTTTCCTTTATTGATTAAAGTATTACATATGTGTCCTTATCCCCTCATTGCCCTCCCCACCCCCACCCATGCCCTCATCCCCCTGTTGTCTGTGACCACTGATTAGGCTTATATGCATGCATACAAGTCCTTTGGTTGATCTCTCCCTCTTACCCCCAGCATCCCCTACCTTCCTTCTGAGATTTGAGGTTCTGATTTCTGGCAGGATCTTAAAGACCAGTATGGTCTCTCCTATTTGTTGGTCTCTTGCTCTTTCCACTTTCATGACCGAAATAAATCTTTTTCTTTGAGGTTCAATAGCTTAGCCAGAACATATCTCAAGATTTTCATTTGGCCCTAACCAGTTTGGCTCAATGGATAGAGCATCGGCTTACGGACTCAAGGGTCCCAGGTTCAGTTCTGGTCAAGGACATGTACCTTGGTTGTGGTTCCATACCCAGTGTAGGATACAGCTGATCTATTTTTCTCTCTCATGGATGTTTCTAACTATCCCTTTTCCTTCCTCTCTGTAAAAAAATCAATATATATATATTTAAATTTTCATTTGTTTATACAAATTTATAAGAAGTAAATTCAGCTCTTTTATTAAAAAGTTTTTCTATCATTTCCTCAACTACCTACCTTTTATTTTAGAGGGTTTCTGCTTAAAGACCATCAATTGCTGTTCGGAAGCATACTTGTCTTTTTTCCATTCAGGACATTCTGGAGTCTTCTTAAGTTATGAATTGAATTTTTCCTTTCTGTGTTCTCTCTTTTTCCTCAAATTCAGAATGAAGCTCTGGAAACTGCTGAGCCCTGGTGATAGCTTTCTGTGGCTGCTGGCATGCAGCAGTGGTGAGTATGGACTTGCACGCTGTTTCTTCTTGGTTTTCCTTCAGGCTGCCTATTTGCCCCTGGGTCCACTTCTCTTCAAATTGTAGAATATGAGAAACAATTCTCAGAATTTTTCAAATTTCTGATACCACATTCAGGGGTGGTATGTGAATGTGTTTAGGGTCTGTACTAAGTCGAGTGAAAACACAGTGGGTTTTTTCCTTTCTATTAGATTTTGGAAAATGATATTAAATGTACCCTTTCGTTATTTGGTTTCCTCTGTTGACATTTTTTTTCTAACTTTGTTTTGTTGGCTAGTTTGTTCACATTTTTGCTTTTTGTTGATCATATAAGACATGAAGAACAATCAAAATGTAGCTTTACAACTTATTGAATTATTACAATATGAATGGTTTTGCTGGGTTGGTATGGCTCAGTGGTTGGGCATTGACCTATGAACCAGGTGGTCACAGTTAGGTACCCAGTCAGGGCACATTCCTGGGTTGTGGACTTAAACCTCAATGGGGGTGTGCAGGAGACAGTTGATCTATGATTTTCTCTTATCATCCCTCTCCCTTCCTCTCTGAAATCTATAAAAATATATTTTAAAATAACAATATGAATAATTTTCGCAAGAAACAGATGATGTTAGGTGACAGGAAGTACTCCTCCCTTGTTTCCTACCCTTGCTTCTCACTGAGGATAACCAGTATTCTGATTCAACATAATGGTATCCCTGGACTGATTTTAAACATTATTATGAATGAAATAATAGGATATGTACGTTTCTTCTTTCTATCAGACAACATAATCTTTCCTAATTTAACAAAGCATAACATTTGTGAAATTCATCCTGTTGCTGTGTATAGTTATAGTTTATTTATTTTACTCCACATAATATTCTAGAGTTTTGAGTAGTCCACAATGAAGTCATTGTACTATCTATGGGCAATGAGATTTTTTTTTCCAGATTGTCTATCATAAATAATACAACTGTGAATATGGTCCTTTGTACATGGTTCCACACATTTTTGTTTGTGAAAACTCATTCCAATTAGGAGTGGAATGAATCATAGAATTATATGCTCAACTTCACAAACAATGCCAAATGATTTTCCTACATGATTTTACCAATTTACACTTCTATCCACAATGAATAAGAATTGCTACCATTCCAAATATTAAAATACATTTAGAATTACCAGGTTTTTTTTGTGTGTGTTTTTTTTAATCTGGTCATCTGATGGGTCTGTAGGACACCAGTTTGCAGGTTTACTTTGATTACCAATTGATTACCAATGAGGTTGGACATTGTATTATCTGATGTCATCCTGGCATCCCAGCAAAGATATTTTCTACCTCATAGAGGAGAAGTCAGAGGTTACATTTCCAAGAACATTCTGTCTGTCTGATTCTGTATGGAAGTCCAGAAAAGGTTATTTCTCCAGAGGTTGCTGTAGCCACATTAACAGGCGGCCATAAGATTGTCAGCATTGTCTCGATGGTCTCTTGAGCACTGCTCTCCTTACTGAATTAGACAGGTGGGAGCCCTCCTGAGCTTTATACCCTTGCTCTTTAAATCTTTATAGAAGCTCCTAATTCTCTGTACTAAAACTCGTTGTATCTGATATACATAATGCGGCTTTTATTTTTCTATCCAATACTCTGATGGTAAGGATACCCTTACACATATGTACCAGTATTAGCCCATGAAATTTTTTTGTGAAGTGTTTGTTCTAGTCTCTTGCATTTTCCCATGTTGGGCTCTCTGTCTTTTAGTTATGGATTGGTAATAGTTTTTTATATTATCTTGGGGCTCAGTTATAGGTAATGTAAATACTTTCCCAGTTTTGTAGCCTGCTTTTTTACTCTCTCACATGGTGTTTTTTGATAAAACATACTTACTTTTAAAGTAGTCAGTTTAATCAATTATGACTAATGAGAGGCCCGATGCACAAGATCCATGCAAGAGGCTTTGAGGGCTAAAGCAGTAGCCCCAGCTTTGAAGGTCATCCAGAAGGACGTACAGGAGGACATCGATCTAATTAGCATAATACTCTTTTATTATTACAGATGTGTTTAAGTTTTATTTTTTTAAAAAAAAACATTTCATATCAATAATCTTGAAGATAGTCTATGTTATCTCTATTTTTAGATATATAGAGATATATGGGTCTCCTTCTGGGTTAATCTGTTTTGTTGCTTCAGCTTATTTGTCTATTCTTCACTTAACCTAACTCTCTCTTAATTATTTACCTTTATAACAAGTCTTAAAATCCCATAAAGCAAGCTTACCCTTTCTTCTTTTTCAACACTTTCTTAACTACATGGTCTTTTGCATTTTCATTTACATTTTAGAATCAGATTCTCAATTTCCATTTTGAAACACTGTGAATCAATTTGTTTTATTCTGAATTGTTCTGTTTTGAATTGGTTTTATTTGTGTGTGTATGTGAGTTGCAAGGGGGAGGAGGTTATGTGTGTTAAATCTGTATTATCTGCTGCCAGAGCTAGCTAATGAACTAATATAATCTCACCCTTTCAATTTTGATTTCTAAAGTCACCCTGAAAATAAACTATAGAATACTTAGACTGTTACACTGTTTTATAAGACCCTAAATTGACTTGTTCTTGCCTTCATTTTTAGCCATGACGTTGGCCACACTCATCCATCATATGATATTTTAAAAATGTATTATACACCAAGAATAGAGCTTGAGAACTTCAAGATCAACCCATCTAGCCAGTTCCTTTATTTATGTGTGTGTGTGTGTGTGTGTGTGTGTGTGTGTGTGTGTGTGTGTTTGTGCCTGAGGATTAGAGGCCTGGTACACAAAATTCATGCAGGTGTATAGTCCTAACGCCTGGCCTGCGATTAGGGCCATTTTCTCCAGCTGCCCACAGCGGGACACACCCCCAGCCAAATCCACTCCAACTTCCCCATTTGCCATTGGATGATATGTGCCTGCTGGCCAGGGGAAGGGACAGAGAGGTCAACTGTTCCCACCTGTTCTCTGGCCCCACCCCTGATGTGGGTGGCCATGAGGCGATCGGAGCCTGCCAGCTGGGGAAAGGGACCAAGAGTTGATCAGTTGCACCTCATAGTGACTGGTCCAGTGGTCATTCTGGTCATTCTGCTATTAGAGTCAATTTGAATATTATCATTTTTTTTATATAGGATAGAAGCCTGGTGCCCGGATGGGGGCCAGCTGGCCTGTCCTGAAGGGGGTCCCTAATCGGGGTGGGGGACCCAACTGGGAGGTGGGGCCAGCTGGGGCAAAGGGCTGCGGGGTTTGCAGGCAGGCCATGCCCCCAGCTTTGTTAGGAAGGATGTCCAGAATGATGTTTGGTCTATCCAGCTTAATTAGAATATTACCCTTTTATGAGTATAGATTTTTAATTTTAGAGGATGTTCAGTAAAGCTTGGAACAGTGAAACAAGAAAGGACCAGGGAAATGAGCCTAGGCTTCTTTGCAGGTTCAGGAGGTTTGTCTGGGATAAACTGCTGCTGCTCATTGCTGACCTGGTTGCAAGTCTCTGGGGATCCCAGATGCAGTTTAGTAGGTGCAAGCCTGTTGGGAAAGGGGTCTGGGGAGGTAAGGGTATGCTGCTGGGAAACAGAGCTCATGCTGGGTCCCTTGTCCTAAGGCTTTTATTTCCCTCTTTCAGGGAGAATCTTAGGGGAAGTCTCAGGGGAGGGTTTCAACAGAATATTCATCAGTTTTCTAGGTGTGCTCCTTCAGGGTCAATCTCCACTGATTGGTCAGCTTCACGGCAGGGAGTCTTTAGTCATCGCTGCTGGTCCTGGCATCTCCCAGATGGAGCTGAAATACAACTGAGGCCTAGATGGTATCTCTTGGGAGATGACCTTCTATATCTGCTGTAAATTGCTCTGCCAGTTTGTTCAGCTCTCTGTCTCAGTTTCCCTCTTCCACTTGTCCTGGCTTATTGGCCTCTCTTAGATATTTCCATCCCTTTGATTTTTCAGAGGTGATGAGAGAGGAGAGTCTGTCTTCAGTAACTGCTTCCTGCTGACAAGGGTCATGGTCCCTCCCTGTGCAGGTTATGAAAGTCTCTCCCTGACTGATCTAAGGGAGATAAGGGGATGGGAACAGAGACTGGACCGAAGCTGCTAACTGATTCATTCAAAGTAAGGACAGGCTGGAATCTTGGAAGCATCATTGTATGTATGGAATTATATCATTCCAAAAGTAAAGCCGACAGATTGCTTCATATTTCATTGACTCAATTATTTACTCTTGAAAATAAGTAGTTCAGTTAAATTGTGAGTCTCATTTCAGGAGGTGGTGATGCATCTGGATCTTTAAAGTGATTCCCGTATTGTGTAAATAAGTAATCATGTATTTAATAAGGAGTATGCCTGTGAAAATAGAAGAAAAAACAAAGGTTAATGATTATAAGAAATTATAAACCAGTCTCTGAGTCTGTAAGACTATCAACCAAATAGGCATCGAGTTTCTTTTGCTGGAATAAAAGCAAGCAGGGACAATCTGACAGATCCTCTTTATCTTCAGTTTAAATATCTCTGGTGATGCTATCAGATGCTCAGGTAAATTCTTTATGGTTGACATTGAATCAGTTGTTCTCAATAACCCCAAGTCAAAGGGTGGGAGAAAAATAAATCATCCGTTTGGAGGACTTCCTTTAGATATTAACCTGGGTGCCCTGTTTTTCCACAAGTCTCTCCTGAGTCCCTCAAGCAAACTAGGGACTCTTTTCTCTGTAATTGTACAAACCGCTATACTCAACTGCCTGTATATTACTCTGTAGCCTTACAATTATTTGTATATTATTCCCATCTCCCTAATAAGAGAACAGAACAGAACTTAATTTAATCATATGGAATAACAAACATTTCAGGGAAATGCCTCAACTTTAGAAATTATATATAATATACTAGTATGTACATGTGTATGTATTTGGAGAGAAAGATTTGGCATTTCAGCCTGATATATTAGTTCACACTATTTTTCATGGTCTGGGGATTCCATAGGGAAGTGGTTCTGCCATAGTGTCTGGTAAGCTCCCATATCTGTACATAAGCCCTGCAGCCAACCTTGGCCATTGTCTAATCCAAGTTTTGGTGAACAGTCCTGTGACTCCTTTGGAGCAAGAAGAAGTAAGTCTCTTAAAAAATAGTCATGAGGCCCTAGGCAGTTTGACTCAGGGATAGAGCACTGGCCTGCAGGCCAAAGGATCCCAGATTCTATTCCAGTCAAGGGCACTTACCTTGGTTGCAGGCTCCTCCCCAGCCTGGGCCCTGGTTGGGATTGTGCAGGAGACAAACAATTGGTATGTGTCTCTCACATCAATGCTTCTCTGTCTTTCCCTCTCTCTGCCACTCTCTTAAAAATCAATGAAAAAATATCCTTGGGTGAGGATTAACAACAAAAACAAAAAAAGAATAGTCATGAAGCTGTTTCTCATCCTAGTCTGGTGGAAGACTGCTGCAAAGCCGATTCCCATCCATATCCCCAGTTTCATTTGAGCACAGGATATTTTCCCTCTGGTCATCCCTCAGAGTACAGCTGCAGGCTTTTATGTAAATTTATGAAACTGTCTGGCTGCCAGTTAGAGGCTGCTGTGCAAGGCAGAGTGATCCTTCACCTGTGTCATCTGCCACCTGAAATCTCAGATGAGATCAGGGACATGGTGAGCTGGCACCATGCTGACCTTACTTTGCGTTTGCATATGTGCTAAGCCATGCTTATGAAATCTAGGGAAGATGTCAAGGCAACCTAACAATTACAGTAGTCATACTTGTGGCCCTGTTACCACCATGCTGCTGCCTTTGGGAATGCTTGCCCACTTGATCAGTTCTTCTTAAAATATCAGCTGGTTAGCAAATCCTGCAGCAAATTCTACCACCTGCCCAAAACCTACTTATAAATATGCTGTTAAAGACAGAAAGCTCATGATATTAAAAAGAAGAACCTATGATCTCTCTATTGAAACAGAAGCCACAAAATAAACAGCAGTAAAAAGTACAATACAGTGGCCTCTGTGTATCAGGTTCACTTGTAGGGAAAATCATGCTTCATGTCTACTTCACTGCATGGTTTCCCCTACATAGATTTGAGATCTGTGTGTCAAGTAGTTCTTCCCTCATTTAGGGCATTGAGCAGACTGCATTCCTTCTGTCTATTCACCATGCTGCTCTCACCCAACAATACATATACATACATCACAGTTATTACTGCATAAACTACAAAAAGTACCAGAAAATAATACAAAATCTCATCTTGAAAAATTCTAAAAGCATCTTTTTCTTAAGAAAGATAATATAAATCTTCAAAAAAAACCAAAAGTATTTTGAGACAAATGATTGGAAGAAAAAATTTACTTCATAACAAAAAAATTACAATCAGTATTTTTATTAAACCATTAAAATAGAAAAGAATAAACCCATATAGCACATACCAGACATCCATCTAGAAAAATAAAAGACTGTGGACCTAACTAAACTCAAGTAATAGGATCCCAAACTGGGGGAATTTATTAATATATGTGCATCAAACATGCCTTTTTAAAATCTACTCTATTTTTAATCTTCTATCTAAAAATGTTATAGTTATATTTTTCCATTACTCATAAAACACCATTTTATGACCAAGCTAAAAAAAAAAGTGTTTTTAAAAAATATATATTTTATTGATTTTTTACAGAGAGGAAGGGAGAGGGATAGAGAGCCAGAAACATCAGATGAGAGAGAAACATTGATCAGCTGACTCCTACACACCCCTCACTGGGGATGTGCCCGAAACCAAGGTACATACCCTTGACTAAAATCGAACCTGGGACCCTTCAGTCTTTAGGCTGACACTTTATTAACTGAGCCAAACTCAGTTTAAAAAAAAAGTGTTTTAAATACCCCAAATATCATTAAGGAAATGGAAGCAGCACAGTGTAAGCAAAATTAAAAAATAAGAATAGAAAATGGAAAATCATTTTCAAAGAAGTTACAATAATATTGTGTAATGCTAGTATATATCTTAAGGAAAGATGTTTTTAAACTGTATTCTGAACTATTTCAGAGAAGATTTGCTAAAAATTACCTTGATAATTTTTTGAGAAATTAATTATTGGCAGTTTGTCTAAGAGTTAAATAAATATATTATAGAAAATAATTAAAGGATAAAAGAGTAAAGCAGCTGTTTTGCAAGTAGCATAAAGCCCAAAATAAACAGAATAGAATGTTGTCTAATTTTGCCCACCAGATTATAATCATAGTCAACTTTTAATCTATTGTATTTAATAATATAGGCACACTTTATTATGTTTTCAAGTTAAGTCATGTCAGTTCAGAGGCCATAAATCATTAGGTATTTTTCCTGGATAAAAAAATTGGATATTGTAAGAGAACAGCATGATCTCACCACCAAGCAAAACAAACTACTATGATTATTTTGTTATAATGCCATCCAATAATTTTTCATATATTACTTCACTTGTTTGTAATCATTGTTATTTTTACATTAAATAATGAGTATTTTTTCATGCACCAACATTGTCTTCATAATTATTTTAATAGTTACTTAATATATCATTGAATAGGTGTGTCATAATTTTCTCATATATCTTCATTTTAATATTCAAGTTGCTTTTTATTTTTGACAACAGTAGGAAACATATCATGCACATTGTTATTATTTTATTTATTATTTTAAAAATATTTTCAATGAATATCACTATATTATCAAAATGTATGAATTGTGAGTCTTGATTTATATTGCCAACTAAAGTATGGTTTTGCCAATACGCATGTATGAAGAATACCAATTTTGCTTCAGGTTTATGATCGCTTATTAATTTTTTTTTAATTTGAAATATGTGTGTATTATTTTTAAAAATCTTTAAAATCTATCAAAATTGAAAATTATCCTTATATTTGCTTATTAGTTGTATTAAGTACCTATATCTGAAATCTAGGAGAAGGATGCATCAAATAACGCAACCTAAAATGAAGCAGTGACATAGTAAAGTCAGAGATGACCTAAATATTGGAGTTTGGAAATCTTCAGACTGTTGTTAAGAAAGGGCAGAGCCTTTGTTCAAACTATTGCCTACTGTACTTTGGAAGGCAGATCGCATGCCAGCCAAGACTATGGCCTCAGGTAAATAAATGGGAAAAAGCAGAATGTTGTCTGATGTTGGTTGCCTATTGTTTATTGACAATTCTAGCAAACAGTTTGGTTAAAACATGTTCTGCATTAAATTCATGTTGCAGTGAACCAGTCTGCACGCAGAGACAAAGGCAATGCAGTTTGGTAAAAAAGTAATTAAGTAAAAATACGGCCTGTGGTCTATATTATAATCTAAACAAACTGAGAATCCTGGAATTTGAAATCTTGTTGCATAAAAATGTCAATTATACCAAATCCAAATTGAACCTGTTAGACAAGCTACTCTAAAAACTTGGTGATACTGCAAATGAAAGCAAGATTAGGGTGGTTGTCTTACTACTCCCATCCATTATCTCAGAGTTGGTGAGGGTAAAGAGAAGAGAAGAGAAGCCAGACAGGAAAATACCGGGTCTCTGCCTAAATAAAAGATTTAATGTGGTTATCTCTGTCTTAATCAGTTCTGGCTTCTATAACAAATAGCCTGAGAGAATTCTGAACAGGAGTTTATTTCTCACAATTCTGGAAGCTGTAAGTTCATGACCAGCGTTCTGATATGGTCAAGTTCCTGTGAGATCTTTGTTTTTGGTTTCAGACTGCCAACTTCTCATTGTATCTTTACCTGGCAAGAGCAGAGAAAGAAAGCAAGAGCACTCATGACTCTTAAAAGGCCACTAATTCCACCCATAAAGTCACTCTCCAGACCTAATCTAATCCTAATTACTTCCTAAAGGCTCCGTGTCCTAATACCATCATATTGGAAGGTAGGATTTCAACATATAAATTGGGGAGTGGAAGAGGGGGATGGAAGTGGTAAGAAGAGGGCAGGGGTTACAAACATTTAATGTAAAACTTGTCCCTCAAATGTTTGTGTCCTTCCAAAATTCAGGTTCGTCTCACATGCAAACACATTCATTCCATCCCCACAATTCCAGAAGCTCAACTCATTTCAACATCAACTTTAAAGTCAGTCCAAAGTCTCACTTAAATTTCACCTAGATCAGGTGTGGGTGAGTCTTGGAAGTACTATTCATCCTGAGGCAAAATTCCTCTCCAACTGAGGACCTGTGAAGCCAAATAAATTACGCTTTCCCAAAATCCAGTGGTAGGACAGGAATAGAAGAGATACTTTCATTCAAAAACGAACAAACAAATAAACAAAAAAAACAGGAAAGGAGGATGGGGGTGACACGTGCCAAGCAAGTCCAAAATATAACAGGGCAAACTACATTAGACCTTAAGGCCCAAGAATAAATCTCCTTTGGCTTTGATGATCTGCCTTCCAGGCCCATGAAGTGTTGATTCTTCACCAACAGCCCTGCATCTCCAGGGCTCTGCCACACAGTCCCACCCCAAAGGCTTGGGCAGAGGCCATCTGACCTCTTGAAATCAAGGTGATGGTTCCCCCTTTTGAGACCAAGGAAGCAGCCTTAATGATCTCTTGATAGCCTCGAGGGTCATTCTTTCCTTGTCTTGAAGATAATACAAGTTCAGAGCCA